ACTCTTAACATCCATTTGATAAAGTTTAAAATCCATAGACGAAGCAAAAGCAAGAAGTAAACGAATAGCTTCTAAACGTGCTACAGGTGCATACGTTTCTTCAAAATCAATGCCTTCTTCTTGATTGTAGCCTTTAGCTACGAGCCTAGCTTTGTTTCTAGTGATTATTCCATTTTCATCAAGTTTGTTACGGAACACCCATTTCGTACCAATAATCGTGCGATCATCAGGCCTTGGCACCAATTCCCAAACGTCATTTCGTTTGAATTGGTTTAGCTCCTCTTGCATAGCCAAGGTCCAATGTTCATCGTTTATTGCTTCGGAAATGGTTGTAGGTTCAATTTGAGATACAAAAGCCATGTGTCCTACGGTGTCCCTAAGAGAGTTACGAGTACTTACCCCGCGGTTTATGCTGCCGATTACCTGATCAAGTGGATGGTTTCTGTGCGTTCTCCAGGCGATGGGAAGCTCGGTTTCCTCTTGTTCTGAGGCTTCCTCTTGTTCTTCTTCTTCCGCTTGGTCCTCATTTTCGACCATCACTTGAGGTGTTTCCTCAGGTTGTGGTTGCGGGTTGGTGTATAATGGCGTGTCTTCTTCATCGTCTTCAATGTGTACTCTCTCTAATGAATCTGCAAGATCATCACAAATAGCCTTTCTCGCCAAGCGAGGATTATCTTCGGAAAATACAATATGAGGGGACTGCTCAATAGTCAAAGTACGTTTATTAAATACTCTATAGGCCTTGCTGCGAAGAGAATAACGAAGAAAAATCCCTTCGTCCGATTTGGCATCAAATTTTCCCAAGTTATCTTTGCCGTTATTATGAATAAAACATTTGCAACCAAAGACTCGAATATGGGAAAGGTTTGGCTTTCTGCCTTTGTATAGTTCATAGGGCGTTTTCATGAGTATTGGTTGAATGACGGCTCGGTTTAACACGTAGCTCGCGGTACTCACGGCATCCGCCCAAAAATATTTAGGGATTTTTGCCTCATTGATCATAGTTCTAGCCATCTCTTCGAGACACCTATTTTTACGTTCCACCACTCCATTTTGTTGTGGTGTACGTGGGGCTGAGAAGTTATGATCAATGCCAAGTTCGTCACACAAATCTGAAAACAGATTTCGTTCGAACTCTCTCCCATGGTCGCTTCTTATGGCTACTATGGTTGTTTCTTTTTCATTTTGAACTTTCTTTAGAAAATTTTTGAAAACATGAAATGCTTCACTTTTATGAGTAAGAAACAAGGTCCATGTAAACCTAGAGTAGTCATCGACAATCACAAACGCAAAGTAATTGCCACCAAAACTTTTCGTTCTAGAAGGACCCAAAAGATCCATGTGCAAAAGTTGAAGCGGTCTAGACGTTGAAACAACGTTCTTAGACTTAAACAAAGCCCGAACTTGCTTCCCCTTTTGACATGCATCACATATGGCGTCCTTTTCAAACTTAAGTTTTGGAATGCCAATTACTAAGTCTTGTGAAACCAATTTGTTCAAAAGGTTCATGTTCATATGAGCTACCCTTCGGTGCCATAACCAAGTGTCTTCCTCTTTACTCATGAGGCACTTAGCAAAGTGGGAAGGAGATTTGTCTAAGTTAACCATATAAATGTTATCGATTCTATCACCACGTAGAATGACCTTATTGTCGCTAAGGAGTTCTACCATGCATGATTTTGAATCGAAAGTCACACGGTTTCCCTTGTCACATAATTGACTTATGCTCAAGAGATTGTGTTTGAGACCTTTAACAAGCAAGACATTATCTATAGAGGAGTTTTCAGATTTACCTACTGAACCAACGCCGATAATTTTTCCCTTGCTATTGTCTCCAAAAACTATGTTTCCTCCTTTAGCGGGTTTCATTTGGAGAAACTTAGATGCATCCCCGGTCATGTGTTTGGAGCATCCGCTATCAAGGTACCAAAATACACTTGTTGCCTTCAAGCATACCTATGAAACACATCAATGAGTTTTAGGTACCCAATTTACGTTGGGTCCTCGGGTGTTAGGTGTGTAATGGTAGTGTGCTTGATTTTGTGATAGGTGCCTATGCCTAGTGTAACAAACGGGAGCAATATGGCGTATCCTATTACAATAATGGCAAACTACATTGGGGTTGTACATGTGCCTAGGTTCATAATAGTTAGAAGGTTTAACCATTTTGTTCCTATTTTGTGAAAATGATGGTTTTTGGAAATTTTGAAATTGGCCCCTTCTAGGTGCTATAGCATTATTTCTTCTTATTTGAGAAAATTCATTTTTATGCACAAAATCATTTTTCTTAGGTTGTCTACTATGACCATTTTCATTCCTAGGTTTTAGTCTAGGTTGTCTAGTGTCCTTCGGTTGACTAGGTTTTCTATTATCTTCATTTTTAGGTTTCTTATGTTGAACCTTAGATGATTGTCTAGGTGGTGGCTCTACATAATCTTTAGCTTTATTTTTATCAAAACCTATTCCTTCCTTAGAAAAATGCATAGTGTCAAGAAGTAAATTTAAGTCTTTGTGAGGAGTATTAAATTTCTTGACCGTGCTCTCAAGTTTAGCGACTTGCTCTTTTAAAGTTTTGCAAGACCCACATTCACTCGATGAGCTTTCTGGTTTGTCAGCGCTTCTTTTTCCAAAAAATTTGTTTTCTTGTTTAAGTATTTCATTTTCTTTTTCCAATTTTTCAAAATCGTTTTCAAGTAAAGAAAGTCGTTTCTTCAGGGATTTATTTGTTTTAGAAGCGCTAACAAATTCCTCATAAAGTTCATGTAGTGCTTCTTGCATTTCTTCAAAAGTGTAAGAGTCGGAAGAAATATTACATACCTCTTGGACGTCGTCGCTTTGATCTTCGTGCGCCATGAGGCAGAGATTTGCAGCTTCGTCCTCCTCTTGGTCGGTTGATTCGTCGCCGGAATCGCCACCCCAAGAGATGTAGGCCCTTTGCTTCTTGAAGCCAGGCTTATCCTTGCCGTGTTTGGCCTTTGGACACCTTGGCTTGATGTGGCCAATCTCGCCACAGCCGTAGCACTTGGGAGGACCGTCGTGCTTCCTTCCCTTCCGCTCAAATTCCTTCTTCATGAACTTGTGGAACTTCTTGATGACGAGCCCGAATTCATTGTCGTCATCGCTTGAAGCCTCTTCCACCGGTTCCTTGGTGGCTTTGAGAGCTATCCCCTTTTTCTTTTGTTCATCCAAAGACGGGGTTAGAATAGTAGATTCATAGGTTTTAAGGTTACCTCTTAGCCCGTCGATGGTGACGTTAGAGACTCCAATGGATTCATAGATTGCATCGGCTTTTGACCTCCATTCGGGTGTGAGGCTTCGCAGGATTTTCCACACGAGATCCTTGTTGGTGTAAGTCTTTTTGAGAGCATGAAGGTCGTTGATGATCTTTGAAAAACGGTCGAACATGTCATCAATTTTCTCACCTTCTTTCATCCGGAACATTTCGTACTCTTGGGTGAGAAAATCGATCTTGGCTTCACGAACTTGATCGGTACCTTCGTACGTCACTTCAAGCTTGTCCCACATCTCCTTGGCGGTTGTGCAACAGGAGATCTTTCGGTAGTCCTCGGGGTGATTTTTGCTCTGTCTTCCTCTGCGAATCAGGTTTTGTTCAAATTTTAGTCCATTGAAATGGAAGATAAGTCTAGTGTCATGTTTGAAGTTTTTCCGGTCATGTAAAAAATCATAGAGAGGAAACTTAATTCCTCTAATTATCTTGAATGGGTCATGTTAGAATAAGTGACCAACGCTAGAGGGGGGTGAATAGCGTTTGATCGTAGAAATCGCAGGAATAAAAAATTAAGAGCGTGAAAGATAAAGAGCGTAGAAAGCGTAAAGGGAGCACACCAAGATTTACCCTGGTTCACCACAACTTGTGGCTAATCCAGCCTCCCGAGAGACTCTCTCGAGCTACACTACTTCCGTTAAGCTTACGAGTGCTTAACAAACCGTTTCAACTTGAGAATTCGAGTCACACGAACCTCAACGAACCTTCGAAGGAAACAGCCCTTCCTTCGAACAACAAGAGAAAATACCTTCTCTTGTTAAGTGTTTAAGAACACTAAAAACACTCAAGAACACTACTCTCTTTTAGAGTGGATAATGAGTAAACTAAGAACGCTCAAGAACACAACACAAGCTTCACAAAACATGGCTCTCAAAAGCTATGAATAATTGAAGAATGATTTGCAATGAAAGAGTATGAGTTGTGAAGTAATGTGATGTGTAAAACAGACCCAAACACCCCATTTTATAGTAGAAAAATAGGCTCCAACGGAACAAAGTATTTAAGGGGTGATTGGCACAATTTGTGGGATTTGATGAAAATTGGATCTGTTGAAATTCACCCAGACAGCGCTGTCCTAGGCTTGGACATCGCTGTTCTAGGCTTGCGTTTTGAAAAATGGGAAGCAACGGTCATGCCAACAGCGATGTCTAAAATCCCTACATCGCTGTTTTGGCTGTTGACTTCCAAACAAGGAAAGTTTTAGCCTTAAATTCCTTCCAACGGTCAGGTCTCTACATCGATGTTCCATACTAGAACATCGCTGTTTAGGTCTGCCTTTGAAG